CTCTTGAAACAGTCATATTTTTAATGTTTCTAACAAACCATTCCAAAGGAACAGACTCCCCAGTGACTGCACTTCTGTTTATATAATACCTGGTTTTGGTCTTAACATGGGAATCACTGAAAAAAAGAGCATTATCCTTTTCTTGCCTATTGGAAACATGACTTTGAAGGGACCCTAACTGGCCAGCTTCAGGTACTACTGTTCCAGAATTGAAGTGGTGAAGCACGAAGGCTCCCAAACCTATTTTACTAGAGCACAAGAAAACCAATGGAATACAGTGGCTGTATTTCCAAGAGAAAAACACAATTGCTATGTTAAAAACACACTCAAATGAAAAGGTTTGGAAACAAATCCAATCTTTGCTTCTTTGCAATGTAGAGCCTTATTTTCAGTCTTATTTCTAGTTCAGTACCTCTCAGCAGATATATCAGCAATACTCTTCAGTGTCTTTACATGCACTGAAAACTGTTCTTTGCTGTCACATCTAAGACTTAGGTATGGGTCAGCTCCTTTGGGAATTCTACTTCTTAGTTTTTGTTGCAGGCACCTTGTCTTTCACTGTTTCCTGTCCTACTGAGTATTCTACAAGGGTCTTCATAAGCAAAGTATGCTTGGTAGATTTGAGAGGATCATTACCATTTGTTCCAGAGTGTCTGCATAATTCAGAGTATAGTAGGAGCAGATCTTTGCCCTTAGTAGTGGCAGGGATACGCAGCCTTCCTCTCTACTGCTAAGCCACTGCCTTTTTAAGGGTCATGGGTTGTAATAGTGAAGGAAAATCACCCCCATCTGCCACACTCTAGAGAAGAACAAAGATAAAAAAAAAAGTTAAAAAAAAAGTTAAAAAAAATAAAAAAAGGAGAGAGAGAAAGCACCAAGAGGGAATAGGTTGCCATTCCAAAACTCGTGCCTGGGAGAGAGTGAAAACTGTGCATGTAGGGGTGGGTGGACAGACTGAGAAGGGAGGATAAAAACTTTTCTTCTTATGAATTAAGAAAGAGAGTTAAGGAAAAAATTGCTAAAGTTGGGTTAGCACCAATAATAATAATGGTAAGGGAAATAACAAGGGGAGAAAATACAATTGCTCACCACCCACCAACTGATACCCAGCCTGACCCAAGCAGCGATCTGGGCCTTCTGGGTAACTTCCCCTGCTTTATTTACTGGGCATGACATGCTGTGGTATGGAATACCCCTTTAGCTAGTTTGGGTCAGGTGTCCTGTCTCTGCTTCCTCCCAGCTTCCCATGCCCCTCCTCACTGGCAGAGCATGAGAGACTGAAAAGTCCTTGATTGAAATAAACATTACCTAGCAACAGCTGAAAACATCAGTGTGTTATCAGCACTGTTCCCAGACTAAAGTCAAAAATACAGCACTGCACCATCTACTAAGAAGGAGAAAAATGACTCCTACAGCTGAACCCAGGACACTTACTAATTAGATTAGATCAGATCATTATCTGAGAGGAGGTTCCCATACTAATCAGGGGCATCATGTTTATGAAGTGGCTGTATTAATAACACTCATCCATCCATATCTGGGATGTTCATCCTTTTCAGAGTTTTGATGGTATTTGTTGCTCCAAGATAGCTGAAATAGGACCGCGAGAGTTACTCCACTTAGTTTGACATCCATTGCGTATTGGCTTCCAGTCGGATAAGCATCCAACCTTCGTTCAGCAATGTCTTGACAGTGCATGTTCAGGACATAGTATCTGGTGTGCTATCCACTTTGTGTGTTGTAGTGTCAAGGTGCTTGGCTCTAGTTTTACAGTTGTTGATTTTTGTTTTTTTTTTACCTTTTTTTTTTTAATTGTGAAAGGAATGTTGTAATTTTCGTGAATGCACCTTAATGTCCTTGTGTCAGTCTTGCTATTCACTCCAGAGTGGTGGTTCACACTGATAGCAGAATGGCACACAAAGGTCCAGATGTGATCTTAAGTTTAACATGTGTTCTGAAAAACTTTGTATGTCCAAGGCTGTCCTGGGTTCAGCAGTAGCAGTCATTTTTCTCCTTCTTGGTAGCTGGTGCAGTGCAGTGTTTTGACTTTCGGCCTGGGAACAGAGCTGATAACAATGATGTTTTGGTTTGGCCAAGGACTGTGTGAGGCTCATGCTCTGCCAGGGAGGAGGGGAAGCCGGGAGGAAGCAGAGACAGGACACCTGACCCAAGCTGACCAAAGAGGTATTCCATACCACAGCACGTCATGCCCAGGATGTAACTGGGAGTTAGCCAGAAGGGCTGGGGGACTGCAGGGTTGGAGGAGGTATCGGTCGGTGCTTGGTCAGGCTGAGGGGGGCAAGTTATCGGTCAGCTGGTGCTGAGGTGTTGTATTCTCTTCCCTTGTTATTTCCTTTATCATTATTATCATTGGTGGTAGCAGTAGTGATTTGTGTTATACCTTAGTTACTAAACTGTTCTTATCTCAACCTGTGGGAGTTGCATTCTTTTCGATTCTCCTCTCTGTACCTCCGGGAGCAGGGGGAGGGCAAGAAAGGGGGGGAAGTGAGCGAACAAATTACCTGACTGGGTTTAAACCACGACAAAGGCATACTTGTCTGATTTCATATTGATGGCAGTGAAAAGAGCATGTGTCTGTTTTCTTAAAATTGCTTGTTTATTTACTTTTGGGGAGGAAAAAAAAAAGAAAAAAGATATTCCTTGCATCTAAAGACAGATTTCTTCCAAGTGGATGTCCTGACTATTACTCATCTATTTTATTGAAGTATATTATCCTTAGAATTACACATTTGGTTTGTATTTACTCATCTTCACATGCTGGTTCTTGTATCTCTTTTCATAGCGCTAAATGCATTATTAAAGTTTAAGTTGCTTCAGAACATAAGGAAGTGGGTGAGCTTTCTAGTAGACTTCCTGCCAAAGGAAGAGTTGTGAAGCTATGGTATTAAGTGGTATTAAGTACATCCTTAGCTGGATGATACTGCTGCTTCTACAGCTGTACTGTAGTCTAACATATTGATGATTAAAAAACAAAAAAGCAAGCTCAAAGAAGAGGCTACCTTATGTCCACTTAGTGAGTTTGGGAATCATTAGAGACCTTTTCCTTGTATTACTCAACCCCATTACAGGGGGCAGCAGCTTTGGGGTAATTTCTGCAGATACAAGGCATGATTTGGAGCTGAAGGTATATGATGAACTTGTACAGATATATTGTAAGCTGTTTCTTCCACACATATATAGAGAGCACTATGGATAGCTTTTGGTCAGCTTAAACTGTACTTGGGTCATGCTTGCAGATGTTGTAAATAATTTGCTTCCGCCTAGGAGGGCTATTCTGGAGTGGGAACCAGTGAAAACAAACATTCCGAATCAGGGCTTTAAGAGCACCTCTGGAGCAGAGAAAACATGAAAACAACAGGTTCTATGAAAAATGAAAGATAATGAAGCCAAACAGAAAAGAACAGTCTTGCATTTTTGTTTTATCATTTATGTTGTCACCCATGTTGTTACAAAATTCCATGAAGTGAGTGGGGTGAGAAAGTTTTCTTTTTATTTCTGATAGCACACATTTTAAATGCAACTAGAGAGTCTCTAGCTAACCTCTTGCGGTGCTGAATGAGGTGTAGTAAGGTAAATTACAAGAAGATATAAACACTGCCTTAACTTCCTTCTTGGTTATGAGAGCAGTGAGACTGAAATAAAGGCTGCAACATGGCAAACAAGAAGTGCTAACTTGCCTGAAGATCCAGGATGTATCTCTCTGTTATCATTGAAGAGGAATTACGTAGTGACTGTTCAACACTGTGTACAGCTTGGGCTTGATCTCAATCCAGTCAAATGCCCTCAGAGCACATCACACTATGGGGCAGTGGTCAAATATTTTGTCAGCTTTGTAAAAGAACTGAAGATGAGTGAAGTATTGTTTCTTTTTTCTTTTTTTTTTTTTTTAAATCTTCTATGGTTCATTTTCTCAGTTCAGTAGGATTAGAGAAATGTGAACTGTAGTTACTAGTGAAGTACTTGGTTTTCAGAACTGACTGGAAAGCGGTCCATTTCTTTTGGTCCTTTTCCTCATTGCCTAGACATCAGTACCATATGCAAGCTTTTACAATAGATACGTCATCTACAGGGCCTGTAACTGTAGTAAGCTAAGGCAGTATTTTGGATGGATTCAGAAGACATGTAGTTCTTCAAGATTCTATCACTGTAAATAAGCACTTATAGACTTGCTTCTGGTGGTAATCACTGTGATAGCAATTCTGAACTACTTACAGCTTTGCAGCTGTCAACATGCTTATGAGGTGAAGAAGAATATTTATAGATGGGAAAACAGAGAAAGTCAGAGGAGAAGGTTCATGATTTCCTGAAGGTGGCAAAGGACCTATAACTCCCATTCTCCTTTCACACAAATCTTAGCCTTTCTGTTACAGATCTCTAAAGCTGGGTTAGTAGTGTTCATCTCTTTGAAAAATATCAGTACTATTTTTAATAATAGTGTATGCATAAAAGAAATTTTAAATTTGGAAGTAAGATCTGTAATGGAGTATAATTAAGGTCACAGCTTTCGTACAGAATGTGAGCACATTGCCCAAGGTCAGTATCTGGCAAATTACTCTAAAGCAAATTAACTTGACAAGGAGTACCCTGTTATATGTAAGATCTACTGTTGTGCATGATAGAATGAGGAGTTCATGGCCTTTATAAAGTTGCATGTGCTTTTATTATTTTTTTTTTTTTCTGTAACATGGCATAGAAAAAGAACTAACCTTTAGAGATTGTGTTGATTGCTAGTATTTTGTCTTATGCAAGTCTAAGCTATCAAATTAGAGGATTTAATTTAATTAAACAGGGCATTTGTAGTATGCTTTAAATTTTGGGATTGATTTCAAAACAGAATTGTGAGAATGTCCGGAAGGTAGTATACCCAAGAGGTGACACAGCTCCGTAACATGAGTATTTAGTAGAATGAAGTCCTAATGGAGCAGAAAATACAGCAACTGTGTGAATTACTTATTTTATTTTATTTTTTACCATCACAGTTTCAAAGAACATTTGAATCTTTAAGAAATGTATCCAGTAGATCTGATCTACAGAAAATCTACCAGAAGTTTCGAAAAGACCTGGAAAATCTTGATTATTTGGCACACAAGCGTCAGCAGGTAAGAACATGGAAGCTTGGTAGAAAGACATAGAATACTGTGCATAAACATGGTGGGTGGGAAAACCGATGTGTTTTTAGAGTGACTGTTCTGTCAGTAGGGTTTATGGTTCTTGTAATGTCAGCAGGTAAGCTAGCAGGAGGGGTGACAGTTCTACTTAATGCATATAATGTTGAACTGCATTTTTTTTATTTGTCAGCAGAGAGGTAAAGCAACTGAGACTTGGCAGACTATTAAGCTTTGAATTAACATGTTTTGGTGGGATTTTTTTTGTTTATTTGGTTTTTTTTTTTGTTTTCTTTTTTTTTTTTTCAATTAAAGGGCATAAGAGTACTCTTCGGATTTTTTTTTACTTGAAAAATGAACTAAGTCCATGCAAGTTAATAGAATCAGATATTAATCATGTATGCAAACCACTGATTTTTTTCTTCTTTAGAAATTAATTTGAGGCTAGATTACATAAACTCAAGTGTATGTGGTCTTTGGCTTGTGCTTGCAAGGTCAAGATGAAATAGAATTAACAGATTTTTAATGTTGGACATATTTTCTGTGACTTATGTGTGGCTTCTGTGAAAAAGTCATCTTTCATAATAGGTCTTCACTTTGTGTTCTTGGTAAAAAGACACCTTGCCTCTTTCACAGAATTGATGAAATACTCTCAACATTTCTATGTGGGAGTTTTTTGGTTTTTATTTTTCTGAATTCTGTCGCTTGGTGTCAGTGTTGTCAAACGTCTTTTGCTTGGAAGCAGCTCACAGTTGTTTTTATCAGGTAATTGATTAGATAGTTAAAACCTAGGAAAGGGCTCAGGGACAGATGGTATCTGAACACATGAATATTTTGAGATAGGCAGGTCAGGAAACAATTGGCTTGGGTGAGTTTCGTTGTGGTGGGAGATGTTAACTCTGGCAGCTCTAAGCATAGTTCTTTGTGCCCTTTGACATGGGGCTGCCAGCAACCAAAAGACAATGTTTTAACAGGCAACTAATGTGTGTTTATGTTATCTGGTCGCATAATTGTTTCAAACATAATAATGTCACATCTGAAAGGGCTTGGAGAATGTTTCTAAACCAGGGAAGTGTAAATTCTATAATTACTTCTTAGGCCATCATTGCACTTTATTTGGGCTAGTTTTCTGTAATCTGAATTCCCACTCAGGACTCTGCAAAATTCCATGTTATTTAAAGGGATATATATCTGGTTGTCTAGCATACTCTGAGTATGCTTCAATAACATACTTCATTTCACCTTGAGCAGGGCATCTTTTTTCCTGTTGTCATGTCTTGTCTACTCTTCCCATTCAATACTTTGCACTTTCAAGCCATTTGGAGAATCTGAACATCTTTATTTAATGTCAGGCATGCATACAGCTCCCCATGCTGTTTCTGCTGTTTAACTGTGTTGGCAGAAGCTTTTGCATTTGGAGGCACTAAAGGTGTGTTAAGTGTAATATCACTTCCTGCTTTTCTCCAGTAGTATTTTAGCTGGTTTTGATACTGAGACTTTCATCTCAATAGAGCTTGCTGGAGAATTTGCAGTGATGGATTTGAAAAGCTGCCATATCTGTTTATTATAAAATATGCTTTAAATTGTGTTGTCCTTTGAAAAGAAAGTGACTTTTCTGTGAAAAGGTTAAGATTTGGTTTACTGTGTAAAAATCACAGGCCTGGTTTGAGATTGAAGCTGTCTTGAGGCTGTGATATTTGTATATGAGTTTGTGGAGTGTGTGCATTTAATTGATAATGACTTATACGATCTCTTAATAGATTAAGGGTGTATTCATAGCCCCACTGGGAAAATGTTGAGTCATACCCATGTATTTGGAGACAGACAATTGTATACAATGTGAATGTGAATCCATTCATGGTAAAGTGTTTTGTGTAGTCACAGTAATAAATACTGCTTTTGAATGAAATACGGGTATCTGCTTCTGTCCTTATTTTTTAGACAAGAGATATAAAGTGCAATATAGCAATGTGATTATTCAGTGATGAAGTTTACAGGGCAGATGGGAAATTAAAACTGGGCTTTTTAAAGGAAGTTTAAAATGGCCCACATGAGTCTGATTTATAAATATGGACCAAACTTCTGTAAGTGGTAGAAGTATACAAGGGACAAGCATGTTTGGGATGATGGTTCACATTAAGTAATTTTTAACTGGCAGTTTTCAGAATGGGGCAGAAGGGTCTTGAGTTTTTAGATAGCCAGGAGATTGCCACCAGAAATGTCTCTTTAGAATGTGCAGCAAGGTCAAGAATTTAGGTTTGGCTTTCTTTATACAAAATCCCCAAAGCTGTTAGCATATTTTGGTCAAACCCCAAAGAGCTTTCAGATTCTAATTTTGCAAATAGGCTGAGTGTATGTATAAGCTGGCATGGAACTTGTCAGGGTGGCTAAATTCTTTGGTACAAAGGAGGAAGATGGGAAGTTTTTGGAGTTGGAGACTTCCAAATGTTGTGAAGAAGGGGGGCTGTAAGGATGCTGAGGAGGGACTCTTCATTAGGGACTGTAGTGATAGCACAAGGGGTAATGGGTTCAAACTTAACAGGGAGTTCAGGTTAGATACAAGAAAGAAGTTCTTTACTGTGAGGGTGGTGAGGCACTGGAGTGGGTTGCCCAAGGAAGTTGTGAATGCTCCATCCCTGGCAGTGTTCAGGGCCAGGTTGGATGGAGTCTTGGACAACATGGTTCAGTGCAAGGTGTCTCTGCCCATGGCAGGGGGTTGGAACTAGATAATCTTAAGGTCCTTTCCAACCTTAACTATTCTATGATTCTATGAACTGTATGGATGACATCTGTTGTTATGGTCAAGAAGCCTGAATGATGCTCTTCACTGTTCTGTGTCCCAAATAAAATATAAAGTATTGAATTGCATCTGTATGCCCGATCTAGTTACTGTTGCTGTCTGTGAACTCCCACTATATTCAAATCTGCTCCCAAATATATTGCTGCATGTCAGAGCTTTCCTTCTTGCTATTGGTTAGTGGAACACACATTTCCATCTTTACAGACTTCCCATGCTTTTCTGAGAGAGATGGTTTATTAGCCAACTTAGTTGAAAGTATGTTTAACTTGGGCCAGGTGAAGATAAAATACAAATAAAACATTTATACTCAATAGTGGAATGTAGGCCGATCCCTTGCAAATGTTGATAAATGTTAAGTAAGCTTTACATTGAACATTATTTTGTATGAACCTAAATATGAACACTGCAAAATGAATATTTAGAGGTGAAATGACATAGGAAAAAATGGTAAAACACTTTGGCATAAGAGGAAACTCAGTGATAGATCCCTGTCTATCCCAACACTCTTCTTGGGATTCTGTAGCAGGTGTACACTTCCATTTTTATTATATAGGATGCTATTTCTGTTGAAGGGAAGTTGTCCATATATATCTCCATATATATATGTTCAGCTGGAACAGTACTAGTTTAAGGCCATTCATTGTAATTATCTTACTGTGAAGTCATTTCAGGAGTGCTGGGCATGGCTACAATAAAAATGGAATTATAACTATATTCAGTGATATTTAGCACATGTCAAAGTGAAACTGCTGTTCTTAGTTTTAACTTATTGTTAAGAGTGCTTTTAGGATGCCTGTAGCAGTACTGGCTGTAATGTGAAGATACTTAGGTTTTGCCTAGAATTCTCCAGCAGTGTGGTAATCTTAACAGTTGACAACAGAATTTTAGTATGTGAACACCACAAAAGCAGTATCCTAGTGTAAAGGTATGTTAATTTAAGGTTTACTAATTTGATTTTGATTGTTTGCCCTCAAGGTAATTGTGTGTTAAAGGACTGAATCTATGTGAAAGCACTTTGGTTATTCCATTTTAAAATATTTTTAGGATTGCTTACGGATAATTGTTGTATTTAGAAATGATTTGAGAAGTTGCTTTAGAAACTGAAGGAGTTGAGGGCTCTATCAAAGATACTTATGGGGCACACAGTAATTGACTTTGTTTATGGGAAATGATGCTTCCAGGAGATGAAACAGAGCCCTTAACCTGTTTTACTTCAGAGCAGTCCATATTATCAGTATTGCAGTTGTCTTCATGATCACACGGGTCAAATTTACATTTTCAAAGTCTAAATTTTGGAATTAAGACTTGTTTCTATGGTCCAATTGTATTTCTCTTTGTTAAAATGCAATAAGTGCAATTTTATTCTGTACCTTTGATTGTTCACTTTGCTTTTTAAATAGCATTGTGTTGAGCCTGTGTTGTGGTTTAACCCCAGCTGGCAGCTACGTGCCACACAGCTGCTCGGTCACTCCCCTCTGGTGGAGTGGGGGAGAGCTTTGGAAGAGTAAAAGTGAAAAAACTTCTGTGTTGAGATAAAGACAGTTTAATAAGTAAAGCAAAAGCCATGCATGCAAACGAAGCAAAACAAGGAATTCATTCACTACTGCCCATCAGAAGGCAGGTGTTCAGCCATCTCCAGCAAATCACGGCTCCATCGGGCATAATTGTTACTTGGGAAGACGAAACATCATAACTCCAAATGTTATTCCCTTCCTTGATTTGCCCCCAGCTTTATATGCTAAGCATGAAGTTACATGGTCTGGGACATCCCTTTGGTCGGTTAGGGTCACCTGTTGTGCACCTCCAGCCTTCTTCCTAATGGGGTGGGGCAAGAAACAGAAAAGGCCTTGGCCTGTGTAAGCACTGCTGAGCAGTAATAAAAATATCCCTGAATTATCAGCACTGTTTCCAGCATAAATCTAAAGCATAGCTCCATAGTATCCATTATGAAGAAAACTAACCTCATCCCAGCCAAAACCAGTACAGCATGAGATTTGTTCATGAAAGTGTTCTGCTCCGGAAACTGGAGACAAGTTTTCAAAAGACACTGTTGCCTACCAACTGGCACCTTTTTTTTTTTTCCTTTTTTTTTTTTTGTGTGTGATAAGCAGTTTTAAAAGTATGCTGAAATTTGGAGGGAGTTCAGCGTAGAGGTGAATTATTTGTTGTCAAGAAAACAAGCATTATGATGGAAAACTTGAGGAATGCAGTCATTGGTAGCTTGTCTGGAGAAGGTTATGGCATGGAAATACCACAAATACAGGCACTTTAACTAAATCTCTTTTCTAGTACCTAGAAATGCGACAAGATCCAATGGGTGGAAGTCTGAAAAGTTAAAACCAGAAAGCGCATGAATGTTTTTGAGAATAAACTACTGAGATGGCTTAGTTAAGAACTACAGTACATTAATCATTGCTTGTAGCCTTTATATCCATAATCCATGCCTTTCTAAAAGATGTGCAGCAACCGAGATGCAAATCAAAGGGCATAAAAGGTTTTTGAGGCTTACACTATCCAATGAATTTGAATTAGAATATTTTTTTTTTCTCTAGACTTAAGAATGACAGTGTATTTTGGTTGTGTATTTGGGAATAATGCTAAAATTATGTCTTTCGAATTGCCATCTTGGATTAATAAATGAGTGAGTTTGTTTACTTTTGTATTTACCACTCTGACACTCTCTACTCTTCTGGAGGGTTGGATGTGTTGGTTTCTTGTTCAGGAATTTTTAAACAAGTATAGCACTTCAGAGTATAGATATGTAGGCATCTGATTCGCATAGACTTTTCTGAAGATGCCTTCTTTCTTTCCTTCTTTAATATTTAGCCATGCTATATAAATTATAAAATGAGAGTATAGGTTGTATTTCCAGTATTTTAGCTTATTATTTCCCCTTGACGTAAAAACATCTATTATGTTGTTGTGTAATTAAAATAATTGATTTATGCATTCATTAAAAGCAAACAATGAATCAGTCTCAGTAGCTAAGAGAGTAAAAAGTTGTGACAAACCTGTTTCCAGCCACCTGATATGTCTTGGTAGTTCTATGATTATAACTCTATAATGTAGCCATTGCTTCTGTGTGTCATGGGGATGAAGAGGTTTTTCTTTCCCCTGCTCTGCTAAAAGTGCTGATATGCCCCTGGTTACAATTTTTTGGTATGCATTCTGTGTAGTGGGGTGGAAGACTTTTGCATCCCCCGTCAACTTTGCCACTGCGTGCACCATAGTTTTATAGCTAAGATCTTTAGTTGGATTTTTCTCTAATGCTAGTCGTGCATGATTTTAAGCTGCAAGCAGTTTGTATCTCCATGTGTGTAGTCAAATAATAAGGAAGATAAAATGGGACATGGTAGAGAATTTATTAAAAAAAAACAACTCTGTCAGCTTCTGTGTATGGTTTTGTTTGTGTGTATGGCTCATGATATGGGGACCTGGTGTGCACACTGCAGCTGCACAAAGAGTAGGAGGGAGGTTTTTCTGGTCTTCTCATAGATACAGATTTTAATTGTAAAAATCTGAGCATCAGAATTATTTAAAATAGACAAGAAACCTTAGGTGGAAGCCAAGAATTATAGTTGCATAGTTGGTAACATTTGCATCTAAGTGCCTGATAGCTGTTCTGTGGTTAATGCGAAAGGTACCTGATGCTCATGGCTTCAGAATCCAGGCTGATGTTAGTCAATATGATCAATATAATGAGGGAATAACAAGAAGTAGATTTTTAGTAAGTAATTGAAAGCATCACTGCAGAGCGGTACTCTGATTTTAAAAAGGTATTGAAACTTTTGAAACTGTGAACAAACTGACAAACTGAAGAGTGGGTAGGCCTCCTGTTTTGGATCAATAAAAGTGTATCCAGAATTCAAAGAAGAGCCATTTGCACTTGATTACTTTTTCCACAGCTGTGATAAACAAAAGAAACTTAAAAAAACAGGGAGGTATATTTTTCTCTTCCAAATGTAAAAGTAGTCACTCAAATTTTCTGGAAGTCCAGTCATGAAGGTAAAAGCATAACTGTTTTGCATGTCTTTGAAATATTCTTATGTGAGCTATTGTAAATGTTTTGGAATTTGGGGGTAATGGACAGAATTCTGGTTTATCTTGAATCCACAATGACAATTATGAGAAATAATCTCTTTCCCTCTTTCATATAGTCTGTGGAGGATATAAGTACTTAGTATAGTATGTAAACAGTCAAACTCCAAGATACGAAGAGCTGAACTATCATCTGACATGCCTGTGCCAAAAAGCCCTTAAATTTTGATACTAGAAAGGAAATAAAAAAAAAAAAGGAAGTTCAGAAACAGGAATAAAAACAGTGGTGCTGTAAAGAGGTTGAAATAGCTATGAGGAGTTTATTTAAACCTGCTTCTCACTTTCTTGAGGAAACAGGTGACTTGTAGGGAGCTTGGGACTTGAGCAGAAGGCTGAAAAGACTCCCCACCTCTGGTCTTTTCAAAGCTCAGTTTGTTGCTGTTTATATGAAACTGAGTTACCATTTACCTGCTCCCAAAATGTCCTTGGTTTGAGGAAAAGATTCCAGTCTAGTCTTGTCTCTGATAAATGTATATAAAATATCTGGGGAGCAAAGGAGAGAAGGACAGATGATGCATCATCCTTGGCACCCAAGTTTAACCATGGAACACCTTGGTAATACAAAACCAAACAAACAATACAAAATTGAGTATAATAGCAGCAAGGAAATAAGATCTTCAGCTAGGAATTAAATTACAGTACTAACTAAGTAACACTAAAAGGGCATGACTTAAAAAGCTGATAAAGATTTCTGAGTGCATGACGTGGGGGACTTGCAAACCCACTGATTTTGGACCTGAACATTTGATATGGTATTGTGTATGTGTCCTATGTGAGTTGTGATGTGTAGGTATCTTATTTCAGTAGTAGTTGGTTAGAACACTAGTCTTTCAGTAGACTAGAAACAGTTTGTTTTTCTTTTTGTTTTTTTTTTTTCTTTCCCCTTTCTGCAGTGTAAGTGGGGTCAGTCTAAAGAGAATGGTACTTACTGATGCATCAATAACTTAGTATGGCAGTTACAGTATTCTGTTAGGTGGCAATGTCCTCTCAAGGAGCTAATAAAACTGTTTTTTATAGAGCAGGAATGAGGTAAGACTTGAAAGGAAGAAATCATTTGGGGTTAATAGCTCTAGTTTTCTCAGGAGAGTTTATTAAAGAAAGAAGAAGAGTGCGAAGTATTTGTCAAGTGTATTTTAACATTTCACATCACTGATAAAGCAGAGTTAAGTATTATAACTCCGTTTCATGTTGATGCTAGATGAATCTGTGCTGCATGCTGAGCTCCCACTGGCCACCTTTAAAAAACAGTGGTTGATTACCCTGGCCTGATTTAATCAGCTGCTAATAACCCATGTTATCCTAATGATTTCTGTCCCACAATCCCTCAATGCTACGGTTAGTGGCAACACTAGTTTCTCCTTGCTGCCTCCCATTTATTTGCAAATGTTGACCAAAAGGATTGGCTGTTCCCTAGACAGGACCTTGCAGAGTGCAGTTTTAAGACATCTCAGATCTCTACTGCTCTAGACACAAATGAGTAAGTAAGGAGTAAGGTGGAAGGAAGTAAGTATGGTGAAAAGGGAGAGCCAGATTTTCAGTGATGAACCAGTTCCAGGTGATAGGTTAAAGTGGGCACCTTTAATTTCACTCTGCTGCTCCTGTTTGTCAGCAGCACTTCACTGGTGGTTACATACTAGTAATAAAAAATGTAATTTTGCAGGTAGTATACCATCTTTTGAAATAGTAGTAGCTTTTAATTGGTTTTCAGGTATAATCCATGGCAGTGTATGTTTTAATTATTTAGCCCTAATCAAAGATGTGGGAAAGCAGATAATTTATTTCAGATACAATCTGCTCTACAAGCAGGTGTGTCCTTGCTGAATCTTTTTATTGCATCTTAATTTGTACCCGCCAGTGGTTCAGAATGTGGCTGTTAAAATTGCCTGCAACATCAGTAAGCATATATAGTGGATTAGACAAAGCGATGAATAAAGCAGGATATTGTATAGCAGAGTAGAATTTTAATCATGGAAAAATGGTCAGAAGAACCACTCCCACACAAGCCAGAATCTGCACTTATATAGGATGATGCAGAGATTCAAAGCAGAAACATCCAGTGCTTGAAAGAGAAGCAAAGTGATTTAGAATTAATTTGATTAAGCTTGTAGTCTTAGTCCTTCAGCCTTTCCCAAGGCAAACCTATTTCTAACTTTAAGATGGTATTGGATTTTCTTGAGCAGGGACTGTAGGATCAGGCTTTCTATCTTAATAATTAGGATTTTAAAAGAAAAAGGTATTCTCTAAGCTACTGAAGATGCAATTACATTAACTAGGTTTAGGTGCATATATTGGGAATCTAGGATAAGAGAGTGGTTTGACAAAGTGACTATTTGCTGTTGTTTCAATGATAACTTTTCTGGCCTAGTAATTTGAGTTGCTCACACTTGCAAGGAAGACAGAAATAAAGAGTATCTGATATGGAGGAATAACTGCGGGTGGAACAGATAGAGTGCTCTAAAGTAGATTGTATGATTTAGGAGAGAGTAAAGATGAAATAATGAATCTGTATTAAAATGCATGAAGGAATAATTCCATGCTGCAAAGCCCAGACTCTCTGAAATGGCAGTCATTAGCTGTGACATTTCTGGTACAGGTAGCTGCTGGAATTGGTTGGACTTTTTTATTAAAAAGTTACATTTGGGTGTATATGTATATACCCAATATATATATATATATATATACACACCCCAAAAATATTTTTGTTTTTTTTCTTGTTTTTAAGAGCATGAGACGGACAGACTTCTATCCAGAAATAGTATTTGCTCCAAATTCAGATTAAAGTCCCTGTTCTGTTTAATTTGTGAGGCTTATGCCAGCGTGGTCTAGTGAGTTTGATATTTATAATTCTGGGTAATGTGTCTTTCTCTTGGCAAAGGTTTTTCAGTTTCTGGTCCACTGCTTCATTTCTGGTCCACTGCAAAATGGCAAAAGCCTTGAAATTCATAGGATAATTTTAGAATTACAAGTGGTCACCAGCACTTCTGATGAACAAATACAGGAAAAATCAGTGTGTGGCTGCATTAACATTATGTCTAGTGATCCAAAGTGTTAATTAGTTTAAACAGAAGATTTTTTTTTTAAATTGGATTGAAACCAGCTAAAGCTAAAGTTCTTAGTACACCGGCCCATTAGCTGTAAAAATCTAACAGCACTGAAGTTATAATTTTGGTGGAATTCAGCCATTATTTCACAGAAATTCCATTCTTTGACCTTAGAGTTATCAAAAGTATACTTTCATACCTCCAAATGCCAATATCAAACAGGCATCTTTTGCTGTGGACTTTGCAGATCAACACATTTAAATTGTTTCAGCATGACCTAATGTTTTATAGAACCACAAAGAATTGCACTATCTTTTCTTGGAGTTGCCTGGGTTTGTTTTCTTTTGATAATAGTCATGGCAGTCCAAGTTTACCTGAAAATTCCTGGGCAGTCAGTGTGGTTCTGCATTCTGGGGTACCGCACGGGGTTTCTAGGCAGTTTATGTAGATGGAGAGATACTACCTTTCCTGGAGAAATGAGACAGCACAGTGCAGTGGCTGCAAGCTCCTGCTTAGTTCAGAACACAGGGATAGTTGAAGTATTATTTCCTTGCAGATACAAAATTGCGCTGATCTTGTTGCAGTGAGAGACAGCTTGCTTCTCCAGGCATACAGTGCATCAGATGATTGACACTGGTTTGCCTCGGGTGATTTGCTGGGCTCCCCTGAGCCCCTTATGCATGTTCCAGGATACACACACAATGAGACACACAAGCTGCGTTTCTATGTGGCTTGTCCACTTTATGAGCCACATCTGAACTGTAATCAGTGCAAATTTTGTCATCTGTATATGATCAGCTTCTTGTTAGTTCTCTCTGTAATGGAGAATGAGTATTAAATTTTAAGAAAAAGTCCTGGATGAGTTTGTGGTTCTTAATAAGATAATTCCCGTGTTAGCTAAATGGCTTTGAGGTATGCAAAGTTTTTAAGAGTAATTGGAAATGTTAAGAGAGCAGTGGCTTGAGAAGCACATCTAAACCGGGCATACCTCAAGTTTATATGTTATATTTTCTGATTAATGGAAGCTCCTCTGAATAAAGGATTACATTTTAGTAAACTTATGTACTGAGGAGATAATCAATGATCATAAACAATCCACTTTGCAGGGGACTTGTTTTATACTGTCCAATTAATGCATTGTTTTGTCTGATCTCT